ATAAGTTGTCATAAAGAATCTAGAATAAGAAAGTCATAAAGCTGATGGTCATGGTAATTCCTAAACTGTATTCCAAAATTCTATTACACAATCACAGTAAAAACTACACTTATGCAAGTATAAGTAGTCTGCTCACTACTCTATCTTCAGTAGAACTACTGGTAATGTTTAAAACCTGCCACATTTCAAATAAATCAAAACCCAGAACCCTAAATGAAATAAGTGTTTTCTATTGATACAAATAATCTGATGGGTGAGTGAAATTTCAAGATACAACTGCAGTAATCAAACTACCACAATTTATACTTATCTTGAAAATAAAATCAGCAAGAGTAAAAAAAGAGATTGTGCTGTAATGTACCTGACCCTAACCACAAAGCCAGGCGTTGAGCGACAGGAGACTTCCTTCCCTTTATTGAGATAAGTAAGAAACAGCACAGCGTTACTCATGGAGTTTTGCCAGGTTATTCCTGATCTTGGACTTCCTTTCCTACACATCATCTATTGTTAATATTACAAAGTCAGAGTGTAGGAAACGGGCATTCTTATAAAAACTGGAACTGAAACAAAACCACCATTCATACTTTGAGTCTATACATGGGCACATTTTATAAACAGCACTCTAAAACAGGTCTACTACATTTAACATTAAATTAAAAACAAAATATTAAGATAAAATCTTAGATTGGTAGGTTTTCTGTTAAATGAGAATTGTAGGCCTAATCCAAAGTTCCGATACTGATTTCATTTACATATGTGTATATCTAAACTAACCCCATATAATCCAAAGAACATCTAATTAATTAGAAAGCCAGTTAAAAGGTATTTTGTTTAGTCCATTAAGAGCTTGCAAGAGTAGCAGGGACAAGCAAAAGTGCAAGAAAATAAAGTTGTAGGAGAGACTAAATGCACTTCAGAGATGGGAAATTGGTTAAAACTTGGATCAGAAACTTAACAGATTTTACAAAATGGACAGTGATTGTACAGAGTTCATTCAAAAGGATTTAAAGAAACTGGAAGAAGAAAAGCATTGCTGCTTGAGCTTACTTAATGCTTCAAAGAATATAAACATTTTACAACACCAAATTACATCATCCTGAGTTTTAAGAATATGGTTATGTTACGTTCTTTGCCAAGTGGCTTAGCAAATTAATTAGCAGATTCAAGAAACAATGTTTTACAGTGGTTGCAAACTGGCAGTTTTATTGTTTTCAGTTTAAAACTGATCACAAATTTGGAAAATAAAAGGTGAAATACATTCCAAGCTAAGTCTTGAGACTATGAAGAATTCTTACCAGAAGACAAACACTGAAAATGATTGTATTAGTAATTCTCCTTTGTCATTTGTAACACACTTTCTGCCCTCTGCTGTTTAGACCAGGAAAAATAAGCCGGGATACAAATCTGTTGAGGAGCACATAGCTGAGGGCTGAGCCTAACTCTTGCTTTTAAGAAAATAATTTATGCTTAAAATAGTTGGATTTTTAGTTGTTCTATGCACTTGTAATTCTGCACTGGCAAGAAATTCACCTGAATTTTGTGGTCTATCAAAAAGGTGCCAGGGCCATTCCCAAGTCGCTTACTTGTGAACAGGGAGGGACTGTTTATCAGGAGTGCAGTGACAGGCCAAGGGGAATGGGTTCAAGCTAAAAGAGGGGAGATGGAGATGAGATGTGAGGCAGAAATCCTTCCCTGTGAGGGTGCTGAGGCCCTGGCACATGTTGCCCAGAGAAGCTGTGGCTGCCCCTGGCTCCCTGGCAGTGTTCAAGGCCAGGTTGGATGGGGCTTTGGGCAACCTGGGCTAGTGGAGGGTGTCCCTGCCCATGGCAGGGGTGGCACTGGATGGGCTGGGAGGTGCCTGCCCACCCAAACCAGTCTGGGGTTCTATGACTTCATAAACCCAAGTTTCTTGGCATACACAGGAAGGGCAGTTCTGCAGAACAAAGTTAAATTTTGCAGTAAGACAAAACATACAGAAGTTTTACACTGAGGGTAACAGATTATGTTCCATACTCAATAGATTTCTAAAAATGAAATAGTAATACACTCAACTTCCTCACAGATTATTCAGGACTTAATTGATGTTTGTAAATTGCTTCAAGATTAAAATACTGCACTGCCTACAAATCAAATTTGATTAGTCACTTTGAAAAAATAAGCTACTTAATTTTTAAGAAGCAAGTTGCAAGTCACTTTTTTCTGTTATAAAACCAACAATCAAGACTTGGAAAAAAATTAGTAATGGCCTCAAATTTAATTTTTAGTGGCTAGATAACAGAGCACATTTTAAAAAAAAGCACCTATTAAAAATAAAATGGGTTAAAAGTAGCATTTTTTTTTAAGTAGTTTGTGAATAATGATTTGTACTCTCTGTATCTTGTTCAAGGGTTGCTATAAAGCAATTGCAAATTCATGAGAGGAATCAAGTTATATTAAATATAGCTTTATATGTCGCCTTTAATTTTGGATAGAGTTTACATTAAAACTGAAAAATCAGATCCAGGAGTGAATTCTGACTGTACCACTATGGGTTATTAAGTAGATGCTTTTTCATTTTCCAGCTTTAACTGCCCTACAAAACAACAGCTACAGAAATACCGTAATTCCAACATTGGCAACTCAAATCACTACAGTTACATCAACAGCAGTAAGTGTCAGTGCTGTGCATTCGCACTAATTAGCGTGGTTTAGATATAGTTCTGCTCTGTCTGCGCATTACTTCTGTCATTGCGGCTGCAGCACCTGCTATGAAAACAGGGAAAGGGGAAATTTAGAGAGCTGCAGAAAGACCCATTCCACCCTCACATAAAGGCAAGTCTACCTTTCTAATTAAGCTTAAAATCACCAGCAGCTGGGAAGCTGCTTGTCCAGGCTCAGTACTTCTCTCTCCCCAGAACAAACTGAAAGGTGTGATTCAAAAGCAACGTGCTTGGTGCAAAGGATCTCTCTCCTTACCTTTCTTGAGTTTGTTCATGGATCACTGCCAAAGTTCGAGTTTTGCTACATTTCACCCAGCTTCGAAGTTTAACCTTACCCATCTTCAATACAGGTCATTTTTTGATAGAGAAAACAGTACCATTCAGTGTTGCAGTTTCTATTCGAACACTATTGTAATAAGCTCCAAAAAGGGAGCATGCAGGCTTTCTAACGGCATTCTCTACTCACAACATCTACTTTAAACTCCGTTCTACTTGTCATCACCGAGGGAAACCCAACCCCTGCTCTACTAGGCATGTATTTCAGGACATGACACACATGTAAGTTACCAGCATCTACCATGACGCCAACTAGCTGTACAGCGGCTAGTTTTCTTTTTTTTAAAAAGTTTGAGAGACAGAAAGGTACGTTCAGATTTGTAGGGCGGTATTGAGATGAGACATGCAAGTGTTCTAGGCCTTGTATTTAAAACTTCTACTTTGCTGCCACGAGTTCTAGACCATGGCTATAGCGAGAGAGATGGAATAGAGAAAACACTGGCCTATGCACAGGCTGTTCTTGTAGTTCACCTGAAGAGGTAGGCCAATTACATAGAAAACTACTCATCAGAAATCCCAAATAGTAACATTTGATCACATTTAATTACCACATACTATATGCGAAGGAAAAAAAAAAATCACCATTTATGGATGTTAAATGAAACATACTACCAATTCATGTATGGGAGAGGAAACTGATTGTTCATGCTATCGCCACACTATCTAAAGCAATTACGAAATAAGCAACTGCATATTCTAGAAAACTGACTTTTAAGATGTAGTAAGCATTACTGATTAAAGTATTGTGCTATCAGGTTTCATTTGAAACAATACCTCTCAAAGCTACAAAAATTCAAAGCAGTAAGAAAATACATTTGTAAGTGTAGGAACCCAATTAATACAGAAATTTATGGTGTTGCTATGAAAGACAGTAAATATACAATTCTTGCTGGAATCTGTATGTTAAGGTTCTCTTGCCTGTTTGTCCTCTCCAATATTTGTCAAGGGCTTTATGATGCACTGTCACTAATGACAGTAAAACATTAATTAGTAACCTTATTTAACCTTAGTCACAAAAGCTACAAAATATTGCATTAGAATACATTTGAAAAGTGACTTTTGACATAACCCGTTAGAATTTTTTCCTTAAAAAATGGAAAAGCATCATTTATGTTGCAATACTGCTAGTCTTTCCTTTGTAAGCACACTATCCAAATAGGGGAACAAAAATTGTTGCATCACAACCCAAAGATTGCAAGTTAACATTATTGTTAATCTGCTTCCTAGCCCATGGTTTTACTTTTGCAATTTTTCAGATCACTTTTACGTTTGATCAGTGTGCTAACTTATGTTTAGGCCACTGGTTTTCTATGGTACCTGCTACCTGCAGAAATCATGAGACTGCCTAGTAGGACTTACAACTAGCTTTGTTGCAATGGAGGTGTTAGCTCAATTACAGGTTCTTCCCTCATCTAAGAGGAGTAGAGAATTGGTGTAACACCCAGCCTTCAAGTTGACTGACTTCCCTGGAGGAAGAGGGCAGTAGCCCCACATGTACTCTCACACATACCGGCACGTAGATGGAATAAACGTTCCTGTGAAGTATCACTGCCACCAGTATAGGGCTTTTTAAAAAAGTTTCAAAACAGAAGCAAAACCAAGGCAGAAAACTACTCGATAAATGTAAAAATAAATGTGCAGTTTCATATAATATTGAGACACCTCTACTTAATGTAGGAAAGCTCTTCAAGTAGAACCATACTAATTTAGAGCTAAAGAAATTCTCAGCATGGCATGCTGAATTTCTACATTTGCAAGTAAAGCAAAGCCAATAAGCTATCTCATATCAGGCAGGTATGCAAAGTTCGCACCAGAGGACACTCGGCCTAGAATTACTGGCTCAAGATCCTGGCACAGGAAAGCATTTCATCTGATCCAGATGTTTATTTTTCCTCAAAATGTGTCTGTGAACATTGTTTTCAGTTTTCACAAACCACTTAGTAAGACCACAGCCGTGAATCAGTGCTATTTCATGTTGCGCACTATTCTCCTGCAATGGTTTGTTTTCATTTCCCCCAATGCTTGTTCCAGTTGCTGAATTAGGTGGAGGAGGGTAGAAGGGTCGGTTTGCAACACTTGGGCAGTTTGATCTTCATTCTGATGAAGATGTAGCTTTATAGTCACAGCAGGCTTAATCTGTTGTCTCAAACTTCTGCTTGCAAGCTGCAAAAGGGAGTTTAGATTAAATGCGAATAGGGAAACAAATAAAAGAAGATGTTTGTCGACTTCCATATTTACAATTCACAACAGGTTTGTAGGACCTGCTTAAAAATCCTCTTCATCCACATCCAAGATATACACAGTATATTATTTAGTTTTATCATTAGGCAACACTAATCCACTTGATTCAATGCTTTCATAATATTTCTGAAAATTAGGTGATAATTAAGACCAAATATATTTAGTATATGCTAACATTTTTAAAACATCACTGGAGCTACAAATACAATTTTCATAAAGCAACAAATACTTTGCATCATTACACATCCTGTTCATCTCGTAACTAGCTATCTTTGGTGCAACAACAAAATTATGTCGGTTTTAAATACGTGAAAAACTGATGCCTCGATTACTTTGAAATAATATAAATGATGGTTTTTAGTAGTTGTTTATGATGTTAAAAAAATGTAAAGTACAATACAGAATACTGACAACATCACAGAAGTTACCTGCACATCCAGTCTCCATTCAAGACTGTGATAGCTGGGAAGCTTTGGTGCCAGCTCACTAAGAATGCTTCTAATCTCTTTCCTGTTATCAAGGTACAGCTGGAGCAGTAATTTGTTCAATTCATCTGAGAATCCCAGAACATGGATGGAGTCTTGGAAGTCTGTCTCAGAAATCTAGAAATAACAATTTAGGCCTTAATACAGAACTGTGTAATAATCATTATTTGTCAAGAAACAAATAGAACTGTAAGTAAACATTACACATATTGTATGGTGCAGTTATTTTCTTGCAGGAACACGTGAGGACAATTCTACAGCTAGGACAAAACAAATCATCCACAGTTTAAGCTGTTTACACCTGTTGATGTATTACTGCTGATTTGCATGAGCTTCAGGAAGTTTTAGATCACTTAAAAGAAAAACGCTCAGCATCTTCACATTTAAAACAAAACACAACACCAAAAAAAAGCATCTGAGCTTTGTTATGAGGAAGTACGTATTTCGATCATCAGTTGATCGGCAGTATGGTAACATAATATTGATACTCAAATCATAAATACTCTGAAATGATCTGAATGTCTATACACGTAAGCAAGGACCGCGTACAACGCAAGGCTCACATTACAGTAACTGGCCCCAAGAAGATGATTCCCACACGTCAATGCTTTTGTGCTGAACTGGAGAAGCTCGGTTCATCATTGTGGAAGCAGTTATTTACTCAACAGAAAACATCATACCTTTACAATGCATTCATACCATAAACACATTCTGTGATCAACTACATTCTACCGTAATACGCTAGAGTTTATCTGTCAGTCAAGTCACCTTACTTCAAGGGAAGATTCCGCAATATTTCAATCCTTTCCCCACCTGCTCTTCAGAACAATGTCCACTTGAGTTTAATTTGGAATTACTTGTCTCTGCACCCCTTCTCCATTGTTCAAATACCTGCCATATCAATAGTAAAAAGTCTTTCCAATGGAAAGAATAATTATCCAACTATTATTATTTTAATATCTGCTTCTACCCACCCAAACTTTTGATGTCAGGGGCTGAATAAGCTCTCAAACCTACCATCAGACAACACAAGGAATATTTAACAGGGGGTGAGCACAGCACACAGGCTGTACAGAAACCAAACAACAAAGAAATCTTCACTCAAGTTTTGTTAATCCTGAAGCTAAATTACTGCATGTTCTTGCTATATACTATTAAAATGTTGTCAAGTTTTAGCTTCAGACACTGAATACAAAATCCAGCCATCCGTGCAGATGCAGTTTGTCAATAAGAGAATAGCATGAGACACCCTTTTTTTCTAAGTTAAAGGAACATAACATGTTATCAGAACTTTGAACTACATTTTCCCCATTCATCAGTATTTTCGGAACTGAAAGTGTTTGGAAGACATCTCTTGAGCATATCCCTGAATTCATTGCACAAAGGTGTCCTTACCATGAGCTTGGAGCTTTCAGTGAGAAGGTACGTTAGTCCTTCTACGCCATGCTGAATGGTGTCAACACCAACGTTAAGTTTCCCTTTAAAGAAAGCACAAAGTACCTTTTACCTCCTTATTGTTGCTGTGGCAACTTAATACACAAAACTGCAAATTTGTCTTGCTAAATATGCATAGAAAAGAAAAAGAGAGGGTTGAGCACCCTTCAAATAGTAACTTAAAGGGCTCAAACAGCAAGTTAGATCCCACACCCGAAACAAACCAAAAACCCCGAGAAAAACCCAAACCAAGTTCTGACGGTGCGATAGCGAGAACTGCACGCTCGCCTCCTGGAACCGGGTGGCGAGTTCCCCGGTACAGAACGGGCAGCCCGCAGCGCCGCCACCCCAGGACGGGCCCTGCGCTCACCCCC